TCACTGTGATTAAAGGATTGCATATGCCCCCCGCCAGCGTTCCTTGAATGTTTTCATGGTAGAACCAATGTAAAACTTCTTTTATATTTGGATTTTCAATTGTTGAAATAGTACCAAGATAGACTACAGAAGTAATTCCACAGTTAGTTTGTAGTGGACAATTATTCGATTCCTACAATTACATAAGTTGTTATTAGTATTCTTATAATTAGTATTGCAGTTAGTAACCTGTTGATTAGTCAAGTTTTTGTAATGGTAAAAAAGTGGTCTTGTTTTCATTAAATATATATATATATATATATATATATATATATATATTTAATGAAAAACAAGACCACTTGTAATGGTACCTTAATACAATAATTTATTTCACCAAAATCCTTTTTGAAGGACTCCGGATCATCAGGTAACACTTCCATCAACGAAATGAAAGGAAAAATGGGATTAGAAATTGATGGGTAGTGTAATTTTTGTAATTTAACAGGTAGAGTGATAGTTGTAGTTAACGAGACAAGGTAGATTATAGAGAGGGGTAAATTTCATATTTCTTTTAAGCATGTTTTATATTGGGGTAGGAGGAGTGACCTAATCGTGACCTAATTAGATGGTTAACTTAACGGAAATGATATATAGGAATGGGATGGGAGTAGGGAGAAAAGAAAAGTAAAAATGGACTGTAATACAGATATATCTAAATGAGTGTTACGGCAAAGAGAGAGAGGGGAGGGAAGTGAATCGAAAAGGCTGTAATTTTGTTGAAACAAAATTATGTAAGAGATAGATTTCAATGCTTGATAGAAATTTAGATGTCTAAAAAATGATAAATGTTATCAATTTAAACATTTAGTTTTTTTAAGTAAATAGTTTAGGGACTTAATATAAGTTAACTACTATTTTTATTAGCACATTTATCGAGAACATATTAAAGAAATATTTAAAATTATAATAGTTTATTTACCCGACCAATTGTACTTTCATAATATTCTAAAAAAAATTGGTAACAATAACATCTATATTAGTTTTACTTTAAATCTAATTTATGAATGCAATTTTTCTTTATTATTATATGGGTAAACTTAATTACCAAGTTCTTCGTAACTTAACTATATATATATATATATATATATATATATATATATATTAAAGACATTTTTTTATGTTTAACGTTGTTATTTTATAGATACAAGTATTTAAGCAAATGCTCTGTTTATGATAAACAGTATTAAATAACATTTTCCGGCCTGAATGTCCGAGAAATTTTCATAGAAAATATTCGTTCTTTGACAGGATTCGAAATTGCATGTTTCAAAAAAAGAGCCGAAAACTTCAATATAATTATTTTAATTAAACAGAGCATTTGCTTAAATACTTGTATCTATAAAATAACAACGTTAAACATAAAAAATGTCTTTAATAAATAAATTGTCGGACCTTGTCCATTTCTTAATATATGACGTCATTTGTTTACATTCGATACGCCAGAGCAGTTATGAATGTACGAGATTCATGGAAGATTGGAGTTTATAAGCAGTAAATTCGACCTTGTCTACCGAACGCTTCTTTGTAGCCTAGAGGTAAGGCACGTCAGCGTATGTGACGGTTCCGTATAGGATGCAGGTTCGATATGATTATTTTAGGATATTACATCGAAAACATGTCAAAAACGCTACACAATTGCCGTCGTGTTTCGATGCCTATCAACGCATCTCAACAGGCGATTGTAAATTACTGGCGAGTAAACGATTTATTCAGAAATATATTTTTTCAGTTTTTTACCAAAATAAGAAAATAGGCGGGGTGATTATAAAGTTTAGGATGGCAAGTGAACACTGAGATCCGTAGAAGAAATAATAGCGAGCTTTTACCTGGCATCTGTCCTTCTTTGTGGGAGCGAATGTTGGACGATTTCTTTATAGATGAAGAAGAGACTAAAGGCGACGGAGATGTGGTTCTAGAGAAGGATGCTACGAATATCAATGACCGAGTGTATGATCAACGATGAGGTCTTAGAGAAGTTGCAAACAATGAGGAGGCTTATATTTAATATCAGGAAGAGGCGGCTGAGATTTCTGGGAGATATAATGAGGAAGGAGGGCCTGGAGAATCTAAAAATCACAGGTCGAAAAGAGAGAAAGAGAGACAAGGCAAAACAACGCGTGACATACCTGGCGAACTTAAGCAAGTAGATGACAAATCGTGGTCTGTGGGTGGTCGAAGATGGAAGAAACTTGTCGAGAGCTGCAATGGATAGAGGCAATTGGAGAGCTATGATTGCCTACGTCCTGAAAGGAGATGGCGCATAAAAAGAAAAAGAAAGATTTACTTAGATCAACCAATCGAGTATGACCGACATTAAAATGAAGAAGCAAAAATTAATTAAGAAACAGCATTTCATACATGGGTCATGACACGCAGATTTGAAATCACTGACATCAACAGACGCCAAACAGCAGCAGATGTAAATGTATACATATTGTTCAGCAGACAATGTCATTTACTGATATATATATATATATATATATATATATATATATATATATATATATATAATTATTTATTTACAAATATGATTCCAACACGCTACATAAGAGTTCTCATGTTTCAAAAACAAGAGCCGAAAACTTCAATATAATTATTTGAATTAAATTGAATTAAAGTAAGCTCTGTTCCATCTTCGAGCGAAATTTTTTTGGAATAACTTATTTCTGAAATTTACGTGTTTTAATAGCCTATTTATTATTGAAATCAAAATTTCTATGGTAACGGCTAGAGGAATTGTTTAAAGAAAAAGGTGCGTAAAGTGTTAATAATTTGTATCAGTATAAAGTTACATTCACAGATGTCAAGTCAGGTTGAGGTTGGGGTGTCTAAATTTAAAACGGAAGATGATTTAGTCTTGTCTGGTTTACTTGTCTATGGAGATTTATTTTTTTTTTATTTTTTTTTTCTGAAACGGTTTTGTGTATATAAAAACTGCCGTACATTTGTTTTTTGACGACTTCATAAAGGGTTATCTTTTTTTGTAGGGCATTTAAACTATTTATTAGGACTATGGATTTTAAAACTTATTTTATTGTATGTCTGTTTTTATGCTAATTATTCAATTCAAAAATTTGATGATGTCTGCAAAAAACCGTTAACTCCTGTCTATTGTTTAATAGATTTTTATTATTTAGAAACTTAATAATGTGTAGTTTTTTCATGTAGGCATAAACGGCATGGGTCATCCCAAGTTTTACAAGTTCTAGTTTTGTTTATAATTTTCCATTTTACTTTTGGTGTTTTATTCATTTCCTTCTCTATCTAAATATTTTTGGCATTTGAATTTCGCTCGAAGATGGAACAGAGCTTACTTTAATTCAATTTAATTCAAATAATTATATTGAAGTTTCCGGCTCTTTTTTTGAAACATGAGAACTCTTATGTAGCGTGTTGGAATCATATTTTTAAATAAATAATTATATTTATGCTCTACTTTTGTATTGAGCACTATTTTTTTTTTTAAATAATAACAAAAATACTAAAAACTTTGGATTATTTACCTAACGAGTTATTTCCTATTTTCTATATTTTCACACACACACACACACACACACACACACACACACACACACACACACACACACATATATATATATATATATATATATATATATATATATATATAACAGTATATTTTCATTCAAGCAAATTTGGATAAATAATTTATATGTATTATGCCTATTTATTTTATTTTAATCCTTTCAAATCCATGGATTAATTTCTTGGTGGCTGTAGAAAATTGATAAAGCAAAATTTAAAAAAAAACATTAAACAGAATTAACCAGAAATATTTTAATAAATTTCTGCACTCTTGATTAATTGCTTTGTATTAATTGTTATTGTAAGTAACTGCATACTAACTGCATTGCCACCATATATATATATATATATATATATATATATATATATATATATATATATATATATTTGTTAAATTTTATCATATAGACAAAGTTATTTTCTCACTAATAAAGATAGCAACTTCGTTTAGTGCATTTCAACTGCACTTCGACGTGAGAATCGCGAAGTGCAGTTGAAATGCACTGAAACCAAGTTCCATTTTTGTAGTGAGTTAAATGGTTTTGTCTATATGATAAGATTATAATAAATAACTAATTATCGCTCTACTATCGGTATTCTGCCCCCTTTTGGATTAATGACGTGAACGTTGGAATTTATATATTACTTTCGTTCTCATCACATAGGATATATATATATATATATATATATATATATATATATATATATATATATATATATATTTATATATTATAAATTAATTGATTTAAAATATGGTTATTTTCGCTACACAGTTCCAACCATGTTTCAAAAATAGAAGCTAAAAACCCCTAATTTTATTTTTGCAAATAAATTAAAAGCATTAGTTCTATTTCATCTTCAAGCGAATTTATTAATGCTCTGTAAATTTACATTGAGCACTATTTTGTAAAAATAAAATATCTATAAGAACACCGGATTTTATATCTTACTGTTCTTTCTTTTTATTTATATACATATATATTTATATATATATATATATATATATATATAGAGAGAGAGAGATAGAGAGAGAGAGACAGAGAGAGACACAGAGACAGAGAGAAAGAAAGAAAGAGAGAAAGAGAGAGAGGGTAGATCGATATAATTATAGATAGAGATATATAAATATATATAAAAGGGAAGCAAGTAATATCCGTAAAATTTCTGTTAATAATGCCTTGATAGATGAATTCGTTTTTTATGGCTTATCAAAACTTTGCAGGTTATTTAAAGCCAGAAGATTTTTTTACTCTGTATTTTCATTTTTAAATTAATATATAGCAAGTTGGAGAAGTGTACCATTCAGTCATTTCTCTCGATAAGGTAATAAAACGACCCCGATTTGAATTTGAAAATTTGTTTAACAAATCAAAATTCCAATTTCGAATCATTTTACATCACACCACTTGCACATTCAAGCTTGCAGCACCTGGTATTCTCCAGAGGTCACTCTTCTAGGTACCGACTGCGTTCAATGTTGTTTAACTTCAGTGATCGTACGAGACCTGGCGTTTCAACATAATAATAACGTAATTATCTGCTAATAATACACGCAATATAAAACTAGACGTATAAACATTTCAATCATTCACGTATGTCAGTTCAAAGTTCAGTAATTTTTTAATCACGCATTAAGATATTTTTTATTATTTTATTAATCATATCCGATTAAATTAAATCTCTTTATATATATATTCGCATACAAGACTGTTTCATAGATTATCGGTACAACTAGACAACCGAATGCTTCAATCCAGGATTGAAACCCGATCAATTTCGTATCAGTCGGACTTTTTACCCCTAAGCCATAAGCGCTTCGGCAAGAGGGAAGATGTATTCTAGCGTATTGTTTTTATGAATGTAAACAAACGCCAGAGAGCCAGACTGCTCTATTCATTACTGAAGCGCGATACGTTAGCGCTGACTGCTGCTGTTTTATAGAATTCACCCATCTCTCAACAGTGCTCAACCGAAGGAGTTTCGAAAGCGTTATAACGTCTTTCGCATCCAGGCCAATTTCGTTATATCATAGCTCATCAGTGCGAATAGACAACCGAATTCTTCATTATGACGCATTTTTTTCGATGTCCCCCAAATAAATGTATTTTAATTTTAACTTCAAAATAAAACAAAAAAAGCATCGTATTTCTTATAGGCCTAAGCAGTGTTTCACTCTTTGCCAAACTTACCGCCTCAACCCACCTCCCAACATTCATACACACAAGGTCGTCTGGTAGGTAGATCGTTGCCACCGCTATCTCTGTTACCAACAAAATATCTCCTGTGTCTATGAGATTTCAGCCCTCTGTCTCTGTTTCCATTTCAACTCTGTTCTTTCTGTTGACATTTTCATTCAGACTTCCTCCTTGCATACTTGCTCCGTCCAAAATATTCTCAGTATCCTTCTGCAGGACGAGATTTGTGTTGCCTTCAGTTTTTTGTAGCGAGATTTTCCTGCAGACACTGCCATACATCCCGAAGTTGGTCCTTGCAGATTGACCACAGATTCTCAATTGGATTAAATCATGAGAGCTTCCGGGCTAGCCTCTAGTACTTTGCGTAAGCTACCTTGGTGTAACGTTCATAAGAGACAATGGTCGTAGGACAACTAATCGATAGGCGAGACGGCAGTGTCTGGGCGCGATGAAAAGCTGATACAGTCGCTGATGACGCAATATTTTTCAAGACCAAACAAATTTCATCATACACCCCGAAAATAGATTGATATTACTGCACACCACTGCAAATGACCTAATCTGAGAAACAAAGGGAAATCGATAACACCATGTCATTCCAGTGGGTCTAAAATTGACCGAATGGGGAAAGAAATGAAACTAAAGTGGTTGTTGCAATTAATTTGTACAAGGGTGTATAAATGAATAGATATCACATAGCAATTCATAATTTTTTATTGTTAATTTCTGTCATATTACTTTACACATCTTTCGCTTATTATTCTGATTTTGAACAAAAAATAATAGCCATCTTTCGATAAAAAATATTAAAAAGTACTGAAAAGCATTTTGATCGTCACTCAAATGTGAGCTAAGAACAATTGAGTTTTTGTTTAATACAGATCAGTAATTATGGAGTGTCAAGTAAATACGAAATTCCATCAATAGATTACCTAGGTAACCGGTCTTCAAATGTAAGCAATCTACTCTATAATTACGAAGCTTTCCTAGGAGGAACGTCGACTAAGATATCCGGGAGACTAACTTGGAAATTATAGTTTTCCGCTATTAGACATCTGAGATGATTGCAAGTCTTTTGTTATTATGATATGGGAGAATGGTTGTTCGGTCCACAGGGAAAATCATAAGGATGAACATAGAGACGAGATGGTCAACCCACTCACTGCCACATGTGCAACGATTATTGAAAGCTTCACTTCACTAAAGAAGTGTTCATATTGTGATCATAGAAACCGTGAAAAAGAGTAATTTCTTCTCTTATTTTTCCCGAAGCGTAATGGTTTATTTATTATAAGCGTTTAATATATTTATAATTATCTCGTGAACAAGTTGTGCGAAATTCTAGGATCTGGTTTTATCACAGGCGGAAAGTTTCGGCGCATTGAGGGCAAATTCGAATTTCTAGTTTTAAGAAAATTATAAACACTCCCTCTCTTTGCTCTCTTTCTCTCTGTCTGAATGTTTCTCTCTCTCTCTCTCCCTCTCTCTGTGTCGTATCTCTCTCTAAATCTATAACGCTTACTCTCTCTAAAGCTATAATACTCTCTCTAAATCTCTCTAACTCTCCATCTCTCTCTCTCTCTCTCTCTCTCTCTCTCTCTCTTTAAGATCTGGCTTTACGCCGTTTCTCGCAGATCAAAATTGGTTCTCATTTGATCACTGAAGGTAAGCAGCGTTGAGTCCGCTCAATATTAGATGGGAAACACGTGAGATTTTAAACGGTCTCCAACAATCTGAAATAGCTTTAAATAACTCACAAAGATTTGACCAAACGTCAAAATGAACTAGTAAGTCAAAGATCCGTCCAAATAACACTTGACATCGAAAGATTGTATTTATTTATCTTTCATTTATATTTTCTTTTTCCATGCTTGTAGACATCGAATAGTTACTATAAATATCTAAGTTGTAGAAATTTGTCCTCGCAGTCAAAAAATTTCTGACTGGAAAATGTATTTTATGGCCCTTTTGACATCGTGGTTGATCTATGGTAATCGTCTAGGGGTACTGAGACATATTTCAGACGGTCATCAATTATTAGACTATTCAGAGAGTTGAGTATTTGCAGGTGTTTGCGCATGCTCTCAGATTATCAATGTTTAATACACACGGGGTGCGATGTATAAATTGTCGTCTAAATTATACAAAAATGAAAATAATACTGACATCTCATTTTAACAGATATAATTAATAAGATTGCACAAAAATATCTTAAAATACTAAAGAGTAAATGTCTTTAATAAAATTGCCATTGGCTTCAATCACGACCTCCAGAAGATTTCGGAATCTCTTGCATCTCTTCTGCACGCTCTCCTTATTTAAGTTTGTGAATGACGTTACAAGATGTTTAGTTCATCTTTGGTGTTACAAGGAGTTTTGTTGGTCTCTCGCTCAGCTGCGGTATCAAAGAGGGGAGTCGTAAATCAAGTTTGAGCGTCTTTTTGTGTTGAAAATCAATTTGAATTGGATATTCTTGGAAAAATTAGATAAATGCCGGATGTTTTTTCAGTCTGAGAAGTTAGGTAGCCAGATTTAAGGGCGGGTGTCGCAGAAATTGCCTGAAAGCCATGATTGGGTTCTCCTACTTGTGTGACATAGTCCAGAGTTCTGTAGTCTGACATACTGTCTAACAACAGCCACCCTCTTGACACAGGACAGCACTACCTCCTCAAGCCACTGGATGTTGACCTTCGTTTTCAGTCTGTGGCCCTCACCAACAAATACAGGTGTTCATGTCTTATCAGAACGATCAGACTGAGAGGTCCGGCAGCCGTACCTTCGTAAACACCATTAGACTCATCCAACTCTTCCGAATCCCCTGCACTGACCTCAGATTTACATCTAAACTCTCTGAAATGTTTGTATTGGATTGAAGCAGTACTGTACGCTGTTTACATATTTCTGGCGGATTGGAATGCGCCATGTCGCTCTTTTTGTAAAAGACGGTGCCCAGCTGACTCTACTATATTTGACGTCGACAGAATCAAAAAACAAACAACGCGCATGCGCGAAATTAAAAATATAAAATGGCGACAACTTACCAAGCGCACGAGTACATTCGATTAAAAGAGAAACATTGGATTTTAGGACTTCTGTTAAAATCCTTTTCAGGAAATAATTCTACATTTAATATACAGTTAATAAAATAATTAAAATCATAGGCTAAAATTATTTAAAAGATTTTAATGTTGTTTTAATATCTTATCTCATTATTATTATTATTATTATTATTATTATTATTAATAATAATAATAATACGGTGCCTCCTTGTTGATATGGCAGTCCCTGCTGACTGCAATGTATCTTTGAAGATATTCAAAAAGCTGTCCAAATACAAGGACCTTGAAATAGAAATCTTGAAAATGTGGCATCAACAATCGCTGTTGTAGTTGGAGCCCTAGGACTGGTTGGAAAAGATTGCAGTAGACAAATTGAAGGGATTCCTGGAAGTCCATGCCTCAAGGAGATACAAAAAAATGTTCTGACAAGTACAGCCCACACTTTACGAAAGGCTTTATCTATGTATTTTTTTTTTTTTTTTTTTTTTGTCCGTGGAAAGTATCATGGTGCCATTTCTAACCTTAAATCCCTGGGCGGGACACGGAAAGAAATGTGTAAACGCCAGAAATCAAAGAAAATAATAACAATAATAATAATAATAATAATAATAATAATAATATTCTACATTTCGGGCTTTAATATGTATATATTGAATTTTGGTCTCTTCTAAAGTAATAGGTCTTATGTGTTTGCAATTTCATTTTTCAGGTCTACACTCACAGATTCATATACACATGTGTGTGTTTGTATGCCTGTATGTGTGATTACTGTAAATATTGTGCTGTAGGTGGGGGTTTAGCTTACGCCGAATTCCTCCCCTACAGAGCGGAAAGGCCCCCATCGAGGGAGGACACAATCAGTGGGAATATTTACAGATTCCGATACAAAGTAATGTAAACTAAATATATCGATTTCTATCCCTAGGGTAAAGACGTCTCTACGTCTTCATTTGCTTCTGTAGTGTAAACTGAGCCCAGGGCTTCTTGTTTTGTTTATAGCGTAAAAGAAATCTATGTCTATTTCAATTTAGCTTAAAAGTTTTGTATCGTATAAACTTTGTCCTATAATACGTATATTTGACAAGACAAAAGGCAACAATATATAATTAAAGTAAATAATCGCACGTAATCTAATCGTAATAACATATTTTTCTACGTGAATGAATCATAGTTGTATTTCTAAAGAATTAATGCATTTTATTCATAAACCGGCATTATTCCTTCTTGTGTTAGATACATATGTAGAGGTAAACAAAAATCTGCC